TCCTGTTCCAGAACCAGGTTGCCTCGGGGCAGAGAAGAAGGCAGTGTGGTACGTCTTCGATCGAGTCATTGTTGCAAAGGTTACATAGGGGTGTGCTATTGGGGTCTGAGTGTTGTCTTCGGGTGTGGTGCCAGTTGTTGACCAGGAGGGCTGCATGGGCGATTAGCCACTCCATACTGCGGATTTTGATGGGTCTGATGTTCAGGTATTGGGGCCATGTGATATTGAGTTGGGTTTGCGGTTCCAGGTCTAGGATATTAGTCCATTTCTCAATCAGTCTGGGGTAGGTGATGTTCGTAATCCTAGCTCGTAACCGAATTTCATGTTATACTCGGCTATGGTCAGTGTCTTGCCGGCATGGTCCTTCTTCCAGACCAATTCCTTAGGGTCGAATTCTAGGTCCTGGATGCCTAGTTCTGGTAGGAAGATAACCCGTGTCTTGTTCTGGATTACCCTGACTTTTCTCAACAGGAAGGTTTCCAAGACTTCGTTTTGTGGGTCTTGGTTAGAGATTTCGAGGTCCTGTAGATTGTGCTTGGACACTAGGAAGGACACGAAACTGGCCTTGTGCCCCGAGATCTGCTCTATGTATCTGAAAGCTCTTGTTGTTGGAGTCTGAGTGGTCAGTAGTCCCCAGTCCCTGGACTTCCAGGAGAACCGCTCTCTGAGGAGTGGGGTCCACTGAGCCGGTATGCTTTGCAGCATGGTCGTGAGGTTGGAGTCCAGGTTGTGGCACCCTTTCAGTGGGGTGCGAAGTTCCTGCTCGTTGTACCATTGGCCTCGTTCTTCTGACCACAAGTGTTTGATCTGCCATGCCCCCTTTCTAACCAGGATAGCCATCTTCTGTCCCTGTGGTGGAGGGACCATAGGTTGACATCCCTGTCTTTTATCCACGGATTGCAGAATAGAGTTTGTCTGAGCACTTCCTCCTTGTTGGAGGGGGCGCCGTGTTTTGTAGGTAGCATGTGTTTTGCTGTATTGCAATGTGGTTGCTTGTGAAAGGGGAGTTTACATAGTTTAGTCCTTTTTTTTTTTTTTTTT